TTTAGAAATTTCAATATAGGCTGTATGGTAGATATAAGTATTATATTGGTAAATTTCCTGGACATGTGAAATGTCATGATGTCTACAACCAATTTTGAAATGCTTTAGCAAAACAGAACAAAACCAAGTATGTATATAGAGAGAAAAGAGATAAAGCAAAGTGACAAATTATTACCAATTGGTGACTCTACATGAGGGGTTTCAACAACTTTTCTGTGTATCTGACTTTTCTTAAAATAAAATTTAAAAAATGCTAGGGGAGGTTGGGAACCCTGAGGTAACAGGACACTTTTATATGTGTTTTGGCTCCATACTCTTCTTGTGGGGCCTGGACCTACTGGGGTACATGTAAACTGAACAGGTGCACCACAGCGCCTCTGGGTGCTCGTGGACGTGCAGGCCGGGGAAGCTCCAGCAAAGGTCTTCAGAATGTGGCACCTGACGGAGCACTGTCCCTTCCTTACTGTGGCCTTCAAGGCCCTACACTCTCTACCCCTCAATCTCAGTTCCTGCCTCTCCTTTCCTGTTTCTATTTCTCCTGCCCATCAAGGTCCTTCCTCCTTGGACTTTGTGTTCTCTGTGCCCTTTGCTGGGGAAGCTCAGCCTTCATTCATATCTTGTGGGTCTTGGCCAAGGGGTCCCCTCTCGCGGGGGTGTCCTTCCCTGACACCAGCTCTAGAGCAGCCCCCCATTCCCTGCATGCTCTCTCAGAGCACCCTGCTTAAGGCTATTCTTCATACACTCACCCCATGGCACAAGTCAGAATTGATCACACTTATGCATTTATTTATTGGTGTTTTATCTGTCCTCCCAGGAGGGGGCCTTGTCTCTCCTGGCCACTGCTGTAACCCGGTGACTCGATCAATACCTAATGTGCTCCACAAACACTTATGAACTTAATGGACCGATGGTGCTAAACCACTGCAAAACCCTGCAGATTAAATGCTGTATTGCTTCACCCACAATATTTGTATTTAGAGCAAGAAAATAAAAATGCAAAATCAGAGAATTTCAGTCCATAGTCTTTTGTATTTCTTTTATAAAAGGCTGTCTCAAGATACCTGAATCAATTCCCTTGTGTTTCCTAATGAAACAGAAGCATATTTGCAAACAATCACAAGTCATAGAAACTGGACCTTCCTGTCCTTGCAACAGGGGATGCATCTGCTGCTTTGTTTGCCCCTAGAGCTCCAGTCATCAGCCAGTGGAGAGCATTAAACAATCAGAGATGGAAACTCATTCTGCCCTTCCACTTCATTAAATCATATATCATTTTTACATGTGAGCCACCAGGCTGTAAATCACGTAAGACAGAATGAGAGCTAATTAAAGGGTCAGCTGAGCATATAATTTTGAATTCCTAGGCACCCAAAAACTGAGATTGACAATAACTGTGATAAAATCCAGAATCATTTGCTAACTAATAAAGCAAGGACTCTCAAGCTGCCAGCTTACTAAGCCATGTTTTCATACATAAAAGAATGTACATTGAATATAATTCTTATGTGGTAATAAAATTTTAGTCATTTATCCCAGAGTGCTTCATTAAAATACACTTAGATTTTATTTTATTTTATATTTGGTAAGGATTACAAGGTCAAACAAATACCAGTGAATTGTGTTCTCATTTCAGATTGAAGCTCACTCCCGAGGTAAGAAATATTATTGTTGTTAATGGTATTTATATAGCATCTTTCTTTCAAAGTACATTCAGGGAAAACAGGTTAGTAGAAAGAAATTCCACTTGTCAGGAGGGAAAACGAGAATGGAGTTAGACCAAGACGGCCAAGGTCACTAAACAAGTCAGGAACTGTTCTGAGAGCAGAGCCTGGAGAGACGGCTGACTCACCGTGGTTTTCCTTCTTCCAAATACACTGCTTCATTTAGAAGATATTTTGAGGGTATTCAAGTTTACGTATTTTATATTTGCATTCCTGGCAACAAGGAGCTTTCACATTAGAAAAAACCCAACTATCTTACTTAGAGTATAATAAATATCAAAACTATTTATTTTCCTTCCTTTACAGATCTTTATAGTTATAAATGAAAGCTTGAGATCTAACACAATGAGATCTAGCACAGTGAGATATAAACACTAGATCATAGTTTTTAAAAGAAGAAAGATACTGTCTATCATTACTATAATTTAATAACTTTAAAAATAAGGTGCATTTTCAGAGCTCTTGCTTCATGATCAGAATTTTACCAACTTTAATACTACTTCAGAATCACAGCTAAAAGAAACTAGAATTTCAAATGTTAAATATCCTCACAGTGTATTTATTAATTCTTTAAAATATAAATCTCCAGTATTTCCTGTTCAACTCCCAGGGTAGAAAAGAAGGTTTCTCTCTGTGGATACAGAGATGAACAAGGTGAGAATTAATGAGTTACACAGATCAAGTTTCCAAAGCCGCGCCTGTTTTTAAAGCCTCTTTCCAAGTAACCATGACAAGTACAGGAGGTGCAAAAAAACCAAGCTTGCGCACCACATAGAGCATTCGAGAGATTTCTTGGATCTTTCCTAATTTGATGTCATAGCAAGAACCACTGATTGCAACAACACTGGCACTTCAGCATGTATGAAACAAGAAAACCACACAGGAAATCCTGGTTGTACAACAGACTTGTCTTTTTATCCCTCACACCAAAATCTTCATGACATGGAGCGCCTCACTTCTGTTCACATGGAAAGTGTGGTTAAGATCGTTTGGGATACTTCATCCCAATATCACTGCTATAATACATAGGGTTCCAGCCCCTTTGCAACTCCAAAGAAAATGCTTACTGTGTTGCTATTTCCAAAAGAAGAGTCTCCAGGAAAAGTAAAGCACAGGCTTCTATGGGACGTAAAGCTATATATAGGTAGATATATAGCTAAATCTACAAGCAAAAATAACAAAGGAGAACACTGGAAGCTGCACAATATCTCTAGTCTGCCCTATTTGAGCACTGTTCACTCTGCCTTAAATGAGAATCAGTAAATTTAACTTTTTTTCATGGCCAGAATCACAGAAAATGAAATTAATTTATATATAACTACCTTTAAAATACATTTTTTCCACTCAAAAAGAGTATGAACCAATAATAAACAGACTGAGAGCTAAATGTCAGTTATTATTATAAACAAAAAAAATGGCATGTTGCTGTTCCTTGCAAAAGTCAACAAAGTCCTCTCAGCTTCAGTGCTATATGTCTGTCTTAATTCAAAGAACACAGGTCCTATAAGCCACCTGGAGGGAAAAAAAATATCTAGATTTGTCATTCCCACTTGGATGCTTTCTGGAGAATTCTCCCCCTGAAGAAGATTCGAGCTCGCATCTAGAAGACAACTGCTGAGCTGTAGTCAGCTAATGGCCTCTTCCTTATACGTTAAAATTCTTTGGGGACTTGTTAAAGAACAGCTGCAAACACTCAAGTCGCTGAGCCACCCCATAATTCCTGGGTCTGGAGCTCCCATTAACCTCCCAACACACCTAACCACCTGGACCTTGCCAGAGAGAACTGTGCGCGGATGAGGTCTTTCCTACCACCCAAACCAACTCACAGCTCTCATCCATTAATTTTCATCATTGGCCAATGAAATGGAAAATTTTCCAACCGATAGATCACAAAAGAAAATGGCCTTTCTTGACCAGTGAACAAGTATTATCCTTACGCTCAACTACTCTTAAATATAATATTCAAAAATATAATATTCAATTTTATTGTACCATTTGAAATGATATAAGGTAAAATTTTTTAAAAAGGACATTTTGTGACATGTCTCTGTGTAGTTCAATTCTTCATCAGGTAAAACTTTACCATTCACAGACGTTCAGAAACCAAAGTGTTTCAGATGGCCGACTGTATCAATTTGGGTCCCAATGGGAAAGAAATGCAACATTCGAACTGGGACAATTTGAAGAGGGTTTATTTTAAGGAGCTGTTTACAAGCAAACAGTCAGGGTAGAGAGTTGCCACAAGGATACACAGGAACCAGGGGCTGGCGCCGAGGTGGCATTGCCACCAGCAGAGAAGCGGGCAGGTACTGAGCAGGAGTTGCTCATTTCCAAGCTAAATGCAGATTCGGGAAGGTTTTGACAAGGGTCCTGAGCACTATGCAGAGGAGTCTGGGTTGTCCATGTGCAAAACTGAATCACAGAAGTTCTCTGACCAGAGCAATGCTGTGATTATATCTCTGTTCAGAAACATTCCTACGGTGGCACTGTGGCGCTGAAATTAAAAGCGGGAAGGAATGAAATCTAGGAGACCATTTAGAAAGCCATTACAACAATCCAGGAGAGGGAGAAATTCAGTGTTGTCATCCTGTGGTTTATACTTTTAAAAATCCCTGGTGCCTAATATTTTGTGATATATAACGACAAACACAAAATGTGTCCCTTCAATTTTGAAGTTTCTGTGTTCTCTCGCTGACTTCTCTTGCTTCCTTACCTCCCGGGACCAATCATTCAAGTCCTAGGGAGTCTAAACTTCTAACTTTCCTCTTATTTCTGCCAGTGCTTTGATAACGGCCACATTTATCACACAGACCAGCATTTCTCAAATTATGTGCAAACTGTTCTTGGGGATTCCATAAAAAATACAAGGTTTCTGGTCAAATACTTAGGGGAAGATCTGGGATAAACAAATTTGAATAGCTTGCTTCTATGGCTTGTGAATTCCTAGAGAGGGGTTCCTCCTTTCATAAAAAAATCTGGTGACATCCCCAGGGACAGTGGTGTGACTCAAACTATAGATAGCAAAATGCTGACAGAGACAAACTGAGCTTTTCCCTGCATATCTGTAAAACTTCATTCGGTCGGCTGACTTTTTTGTATCTATTGCCCCAGGAAAGAGATCACATAGCGTAAAGCAAGGAACAGGGTGATCAATTCTTGCAGTTTTGGGCAACAGGCTTTGAAGAATATGAGTGAGAACAAAGCTTCCTACATTCAGACTAGATTAAAAGGACAGAGAGGGAAACAGTCAAAGGGTAAAGTGAGAGAGTTTCAACTTACGTGGGTACCTGAAAAGGGGACCCAGGTCCCAGCCCATTCACCAGCTCTGTGCTGAGCCATGACGGAGGGAAAGGTAACAGAAACTCCAAAAGATTTGGCGGAGCTACGAACCAAGGGAAGCTGTGCCTTCCTGGGAAGATGGAGCCCTGAGGGAAAAAAAAAAAAGACAGTAAATAAAATGGCTAAAATATAATTTCATATCAATATTGGAGTTTTTCAACCTCAGTACTATTGACATTTTGGTCCCAAATAATTCTTTGTTGTAGAGATAGTTCCTGTGCATTGCAGGATGTTTATCAGCATTCCTGGCCTCTATCTACTAGATGACAGTAGGGACAACCCCCAGTTGGGACAACCAAAAATGTTTCTAGACATTGCCAAATGTTCCTAGGGTAAAAATCCCAGTTGAGAACCACTGGTCTAGGTAGACAGAGTCCTGGAAAATCTCAGTGTTTCTTTCAGGTGTAGTACAGGTTCTGAGTATCTAAATGAATCATTCTGGAGGATACAAAGCACCCTGAAATGTCCTAGAACCATATGGGATAAAGAAAAATAAATGCAATGGCAATGGATGCCAAAGAGGACTGATCATTTCCAAGGACAAAATGGTACACTCCCCTGGATGCCTCCACATTGTAACTGTGCTGGTTAAGAACAGAGATACTGGAGCACACTAGGAGGCACGCTATCTAAGTTCAAATCGTAGCTCTAATCATTAAGAGCTCTTTGACTTTGGCAAGTCACTCAACTTTCTGGGACTCGGTTTCCTCACGTGCAAGGTAAAGATAATAATAGAATATACCACCTAGGGTTACTATAGTAATTAAACGTGTAAAAACTTGTAAACTTCCAGCTCTTTACAACAAAATTTTGAGTAAGTGGTGGCTCTTACTATGTATGTAATTAAATCCAAGTCAGAGGAGAGTATGACCCTGAATTATAATGAAATTTCTACCATCAAATGAGGCTCACAGTGAAAACTGAAATTCACAGTCGGTCTCCCTGCATCCAGTCTAACATTCTTTGTTTCCACCCCTCAAAGCATCTTCATGCCACCATTGTGGCCATCCTTTTAAACCTCCAATCTAATTAGACAGTGGTTTCCCCATTATCGACATCACGGTCACACAGAGATGCTTCAAGAGTTCAAGGCCGTGTGGGGGACGGTACGGCATGAGGCTCCACTGGGTTTCTGTGTCAGATTTTATCTAGAAATTATATGTGCTCTTAAATGTGGTTGAAAATCATTGGCCTACTAGATGGAGATTCCACCAGATGGCAGTCAAGGCCACCCATGAACAGCCCTTCCCCTCCCTCCAGCTGCTCTCATCAACACAACCCCAGGATCCAAATGAAGAAAGTCACTGGTACACAGCACATGTGGCATTAGCTTCATAGTTTTGCATATGCTATTTCATTTCCTTGGAATACCTTTATCCTACAGAGAGGAAGTCATTGATGGGATCTTTTATTGGGGAACATGCTCAGATTTGCATTTTTGAAAGAAATGCATGGACTGAAGACCTTTTGAGACTTTGGTGCTGGGGTGGGGGGACTGCTTCATGTGCTGTAGGACCCTTAACCACGGCTGGGGGTTCCTGTGTAAAATACGCAACTTCCTTAGATGATCACATTCCCCTGTAAAGTCCTGCCATAGGGGGGCGCTTCAAAGAAGCAGACCATTGGATGGACTAATCTTAGCGTATCAACCTCTTTTTCTGTTCTTTCATATTTCCCTGCTTACCCTTCGCATAGGTCCATCCCTGCTGCTCTTCCCTCCCAGGATACAGCCCCTTCAAGGGGCCTCCAGAACACCAAAGCCAACCTCATTTCTAGAGATATAGGCAACTTCTGCTTTCGTCTCTGCAATGCAACTCTCCCCCGAGGCACCAGGAGCACAGGCCTGGCAGCCTGATAGAAAGGGGAAGGAAGTGCACATCTGGAGTAACACACAACTGTATCCCAGTGAATCAGGATTCCACCTGCATGTGTATCTCACCGAATCACAACCTCTTTCTTTATACTTTTCTAAAATAAGTTTACACGACTTTTGTGTCAGAAAAATATACTATTAAAAAAAAAGCCTGATTGATACACACACCTATGTCGCAGCACCATCGCGCAAGTTAAACTATAATACAGGCATATGACAGAGAACAGCGCCTGGTAGCTGCCTTCTCCCTCTTGCAAACCTTCAACCTGTTCATTTGGTGATGAAGGGTACTGCTGTTTCCTCAGGACGGTCCCCATTCATTGCCTTCATTCGTGCAGTTCAATGCCACAACCCATCAGATCACCTTCTCCTCTGTCCCATTTGGCAGCCAGTCTCAGGACTGCTGCTGGTTTTCCATCTGTCAAACCCAATCTATCTTCAGCACAGAGGCAGGGCCTGGAGAGTACACTGAGCAAAGACAACGAAGGCACACTGGTTTCACCCTGGATTTGATTGACTTTGAAAGGAGAAAGAGTACTAATAACATCGAAAATTCCCTAGCAGGGACATGCTTCTTGGCTTTGTAAGAGTTTGGCTAGAAGTGGGCTTCCAGCCTAGGAGATAATAGCCCCATACTCTCAACAGCTTTTGCAGTCTGCCCAGCTACAAGGATTCCTCTTAACCCCAGCAAGAGGGGAGTGAGGTAGCAGTCATTTTGAACAATTCCGTATAGCGTGCCCTTACTCCTTGTGATGGCGGATTGGTCCAGAGAAGATACCTAATCCAAGCTAGCCAATTAGATGGAAGGGAATATTCCTGCATAATCTCCTTGAAAATGGAAACCAATTGAAATTGCCTCTCCCATTTCCTAATGTGTAACCTAGGGTAAGGCCCTTAACCTCGCTTGGCCTATTTCTTCATCTGTAGAAAGAATGGTTGAACTAGGGATGTTGCAATTTCCTTTCTGCTCTTGCGTTGTGGTTTTCATGATGAAGGTGGGTTCTAGAGTCAGTAAGGCCTGGGTTCAAGATCATGTTCTGTCCGTCACTAGACTTAAAAAAGTTCCTAAAAAAGTCCCTCAACTTCTTAAGTATCAATTTCATCATCTGTAAAATGAGGATGATAATAGTGCCTACCTTGTTATTAAATGATGTAATACATGTTCAGTGTTTAAAACACAACCACACAGTAAAGCCGCCTATGGCCTCTGGTTACTATTGTTATTGCTGTTATTTCTATATGAAACATAATTTAAAATTTTCTTGAAAGAAAAATGAAGGAAGGAAACCAATGTGAAAATGTCGTAATTATTCAGTCAAATGAATTTTTGAGTAAGATCAAGCTGTCTGGCTCAACATTAGTGCAAAGAGGTGGGGAGAGGAAGAACAAAGAATCAATATGCCTCTCCAGCCATGTAAAAATGTTCAGGGTGTTTAATTAGGACCCAAGGAAAAAATGTGACACTCTTTGTCTTAAGCTCTATCACTCTCAGAACTTAAATAAAAATTCAAACTACTCAACTTGAAGAACCATGTTGAAGACTTATTTTTTCCATTGTCTTTCTTTGTAACCTTGTCTTGGTGACATGTACAATATCCATAGAGCTGGAATATTCCTTCTTTCTAATGTCAAAAGCATAATGCTCACTACCGTAACACCATATAAGAATGATTACCTCAGATTCAATTGATTTTCTCCCTCTAGAAATTATCCTAACACCCCTAAAGGTGGTAATGTTTTAGAACTCTCCAAGGGATATACTAGGATGTCTATTAGAAAATATTTTTCTCTATATAGATGGTACACTCTGGCAGCAACTTATTGACCCAGATTTACTTATATATGCAGCCTTATCCCAGTTCATTTCTTTGGTGAGTCACATGATCTGACAGGGTACAATGCAATGAACTGAAAAAGGGTAAGAGAATATAAGACAAGTGAGAAAAAATAATACTGAAAGAACCAGTGCTGCATAATGTGGCATAATACAATGCCAGCCTTGAGAGACTGGAAATCGCAGCAGTCGGTGGGTTGCCAATAGTGAGGATGTCAACCCCGGGTACTTCAGCCAGAACAAAAATGTCATCTCACCTGTAAAACTGAGAGCAAGTGTCACCAAAATCAACAGGGACAGGAATGAAAGATAAGGTCATCATGCAAAGGGCATGTCGTTATCTGCCTCTCATATGAAAAACTATGGATCACATGCATCACATTTTCACATGATATTTGTAAAGATTCGCAGCTCTTGCTCCATTTTCTGAGCTCGTATGTGCAAAGCAACATGTGCACAAATGACCCTTTCAGATGGTCACACCAGGAAACTGGCAAGTGTTTCCCTATTTGGGGGATCGCAGGGACCTCCGGAGGAATGTAAGAACAAAATCATCCATTATCTCATATTTACAGCTTGATATCAGATGCCCTAGAATTCAAAGTATGTTTAGGTGGTCCTGAATATCTTTGAACAAAAAGAATCACTGTCATCTGTCCCATTCAGTTATCTTGGCACTATCAAGAGTTGTCATGTTGTGTGGCTGGCAGGACTTTTTCAAAGCCAATTGGTTCTTTTGCAAGATGATGAAAGAAAAAGGGAACATTTCACATATTCTCCTCCCAGGCAATATTCTCCCCACTGACATACTTGCATATAGTAGTGACTGAATACACACTTTTAGTAGACTATACAAAGTCACCTTCTTGGAGAAGTTAATAACTATCAAAACAGTAATTAAAGCATGTTTATATCCCGAATTTGGTGTTATTCAGGTACTTTTATGTTTACATTTTAAAGCCATACTCTTTTAAAACATCTAGAATGGCTATTTTCAGAATTTGGAACTGAATATAGGGGGTCCAACAGCCTTAGCATCCAGAAGTTATTTCAGAAACAGAGGCACAAGATTTAATTTTAATCATCCTAGTCATTTAGATGTCTAATCTGATATGTTGCCCACTTGTCCTGTTATATTTACATATTTTCAAGTGGGACTTGGTGACATAAGGTGGTGATATTAGAAGGCTCTTTACCCAGAAACAAACTTAAAAAGCCTTTAACTGAACAAGCATTCCTTATCCTGCTTATCTATTTGTGTGGCTCTAAGGACCCCCTCAAAATGCTGGGGGTGGGGGTGGAGGGATAATGCTTTCTGTTTTATTTTACCTATAAAATACAGGAAGCTGTCCTGAGGCACTTCAGGCATGTTTTTCCTT